AAGAGAAACATAATTAATATAACAAAACATTTTAGAAAAACCACACAATGCTACTATGTGCGCGCCTCATAATATCAGTGTTAGGTTTAACCAAATGATTAATGAATTATATTAATGAAGAAAACTGCAAAGCGAACTAATAAAGTGAAAAAATGGACTGATTTACCCCTTTGTGGCTGATGCCATCACAAGAAGACATTTGCCTTTAAAATGTTCATATCCATGTGTTACATTGGCCTGATTCCTCTGAACATATACTTCTTTTTTCTTCCTACATGTGCTGCCAAGAGCAGCACTGCACTGGGATTTAGGGATTCAAATGACAATGGTGATTAATACTACTTAAGCGTGAAGGGTGTTGCGCAAGTCCTACACCAACATGAAAACTGTTATAGATTAATTTGGAGAGTTAGTGCAGAAATGAAAGACCAAAAAAAAAAGAAAAGAAAACACAGAAGGATTTGTGCTAAACATCATGTGAAATACTAAATAATGTGTGCCACTCTCTCTGTGATAGAGAAATAATATACACCATTAACCATGTGAAACTGACAGTGTAGATGATTACACTTAATGAGTCCTGAGGTTTGCTGTTTTCATGACCACATTAAAAAAAAAAACATATGAAAATGCTCTTTTATGTGATTTATTTGACAGAGTTTAATGAAAAATAGGATTTGTCTGCTACTGCACGCTGTTTACATTTCCAACAACACAGCCTTGAAAGCCTTGTGGGAAAATATATCTATGCCACAGGGTCCTTCCCACTTTTGTGGTTTTGGGTTTGGAAAAAGGCAGAGGCACCCCGGAGTTTGAAAGCAGTTACGTAAAAAAAAAGAAGATGGCTTAGCAGCGACTGTAAATTAAGAAGACAAAGAAGAAAAGAAGGGTAACGATGAATTGAATCTACTGTGCAATCTGCAGTGAAAATATTTAATGTGGTTGTTAACTACATCTCTGGTGAGATGCTTAGAGTGTGTCAGCAAGTAATGAAACAGGGGAGGTCTGAAAATAACAGAATAGCAAGAGAAATTGTCCCAATATATCAGAAGTGAAAATGGAAAAGTTTAACACATCCAGTACATCACAATCTGCAGCTCTGCAGAAAGTTTGATGAGTACTAAAACGTTTCATGGAAGAAGATGTGGATTAAAGTGAGAAATGTTTGCAAAATGGTTCTGAAAATGAAAAGCACATCTCTAGTCCATCAGGGCTGCGAAGCTTTAAGGGGAGGGTTTGTCAGAGGCTGTGTCTTGATGCTATCTGACAACAGAGAAAGGCTGAAGCCACACTGCCAAGTCTGGGCCTTATAAGTGAGTTACCGAAAAAGGCAGACAACGTAAAAGATATTTGTGCAAACAGACATATGTAGAGGAGTAATCTTAGCTTCAGGGATGTGTTAAATAAATCCAGTACACCCAAAAAGTTATTCTATTTAAAAGCCATTGCCATAGTAACAATGACAAATGCAGATTTTAACCCCTTAACAACTAGTGTATCATATTTCATACATGAGTATTTGAGTCTTCTACATCACCAGTGTGGACCTTAAAACCTAAATAATTAGCAAAATATATCATTTGAAACCAATAAATTGGAAAAAAAGGAAGGCACAAAAAAGGAAAATGTATGCAAATTAAAACTCATATATACAAAATGATATTTAATTTATTAAAAAAACACACCAGAAGATTCAATAAACACTTAATTTTCAACAAACTGGGGCAAAAATAAATAAGATAAAATACATTTCTGTTATGTTTCTGTCTACAGGTAGAGGTGCTCATTCTGAGAACAGATTGGTCCTCATCAGGACGTATTAACAAAAACGTGTTCTGGCTAGTGTCTATTGAAGCAATTGTGGTGTAGCATGAAATAATAAAACCCTGCAAGTCATAAAGCGAGCCAACCTTACTGTACACCTTTGTGTTTGCAGATAACAAATTATCACTGCTGATCTCATAGACAATATTCTAATTTTCTATTATGCGTCAATGTCTGTAGCTCCGTAATGCTTGTAACTTAAATTTAAAATACAAAAAAAAAAATGTTTCCATGGTATTTTCTTTTTGTTTTCAATTCGGGTAAACCCCCTGGTGCTAAACTTGGAAACAGTTGGCTTCACGAGGGCAGCCTAATTTGAAGTTAATTCTGTTATATGCTCAGGTGACATGAAACCTTTTGATGTGAGGAAGAAGCACAGATTGAGTCAGAGCTGCAGGCTGCCTGAAGAACACAGCTTCATGTTGTGCATCTATTAAAAGCGAGGCCACTGAAATGTGACACTGGTATTGTGCGGTTTATCTGTTGATCGTGTTTTAGCGTTTAATTTGTGTAGTTTTGGTCAAAAATAGAAAAAAAAATCAAGCAACAAATCATCAAAGTCGTGCTTATGGGTCGAACTAGGTGTGGATAATTGTGAATTCATTTCGAGTGCTAAGCAGCAGGAAGTCTGGTTCGAAGTTTGTGCTTGATTGATTGTTTGAAAAGGAAAGAAGGCTGCAACAGTTACAGGCTTGTGTGACAAAGCAGAGAGCAGAGTGTTAGACGGATCTTTCCCCCATGAAGAGAGAAAAATTGACAAGGCTCAGAGTCCAGGTTCCTTGTGGTGAGGACAGACCGTCATGGAAACATTAGGAAAGTAAGAAAGATTACAGATGGAAAATATGATGGTCTAGAATTTCCTGATATTAGCAACGTTAAAGGAGAAAATTCATTGGAAACTATTGGAGGGGATTTGCATAAGGACTTACCCGTGTCTGGGTGATGAAGGAGAACAGGATGGCAAATGTGGATGGATGCATATGTACAATGTTATAATTCAAAAAGACTCAGCTCAGAGGCAAATTACAGCCGACTGGTCTACAGAGAATACCGTATAATAAAAGGTCTTCACATAGTCTAACTGCGGTGATTTAATTTGCAGACATTTATTGCATCACAAGCAGGAGTAAAATAAAATAATGTTTCCCAGTACAGCATTTATGACCTCACTAATACACACTATTGTTTAAAAATCTGAACATTATAACTCGTGTTAAGACAACATTTGTGAATGTGCTATTGTATTGAATATATTGCTCAGGTTTTCCTAATAATGTACAGCGCTTTACAAAAGTCTCAATATTTGCTATGACCACTTTTTTTTTCTTTAACACCTTTAAACCTGAACTCTCTTGTTATTTCTTTAAGTAGTCCTCAGGAATAGTTCACCAGGCTTCTTGAACGGCATCCAACGCTCTTTTTTTTTGGATGATGGCTGCCTTTTGTTCTGTTCTCTTTCAAGATGATCCCACACTGCTTCAATAATGTTGAAATTAGGACTTTGTGGAGGCCAATCCATGGCTGATAGTACTCCACTGTGTGTTTTTCTACCCAGGTATGCTTGTACTGCACTGGCAGTTTGTTTGGGATCATTGTCATGTTAAAAAGTGAAGCCACTGCCAATCAGATGTTTCCTAATTCCATCAGTTTTGGCAAGCTCTCC